GATATCGTTATTTATTAATGTATCTAGCTAATTTTAAGTATCTTAATCATCACCCATCACACCGAGCGATGGGTCATGCAAATGCAAACAAGAATATCGTAGATGAGCCACGATATTTTTATTTAAATTTATTATATTTGTTAAATAACATATTTTATATGATTATATATAATATAATGACTTAAAGAATTACAAAAATTCTTATTACAAAGGTCTAATGTATCAATATTGCAACATATATCATAGTTAGATATGTCAAAAATTATTTTACAATGATTTTTTTATAGTCAAAATATCAAACAGTCTAAACGGAAAGTCCAGCGTGGATCACCGATAACCCATGTGGTACTTAACGCGTTAAGCGCTTTAAGATCAGATCCTCTCAAGCACTGATAGCAATACATAATTGATTAACAAAATAAAAGAAATTTAGAACTAAATACATAAAATGAAAATAATAAAAAAGTGAATAGTTTAAATTACAAAAAGGCTAATCTATTAATTAATTTAAATATTACAATATCTTCAATAACAATAATTATCTTCAATAACAATGGTCTTTGTTAACTTGTTGTATACAGTTTTCATCGATTACGCATTATACAAATTATGTTACATTAAGTAATTATAGTAGTTACAGATACATTGTATAATACGGTATAGTTGCGATAAATAATTCGAGTGTTTATGCCTGCGACGATAATATTGGAATTGATTGTTTAATGACACTATTGCGCTAGTTCATAATGAAAGACCGATTCCATTTGCGCGATGTTAACTCTCTTCTCTAATTATAGCCTGTAATTATTACCCTTTATTATTATCGTGCTTTTGAATGAAGTCTCGAGTGATACTCGATACTTGTACCATTAAATTTATGCGTCGCGATAGTTACGATTCTGTCGAACGAGCGAAATCATCGACTCTCTGTTAGACATCTCTACGCGCATTTGCTCTGCAAAGATTTTCACCATGCGAAGCATCGCGTTTCGCCCGATATATCGGGGTTAAGGGGATACCGGAATCGTCTGTAAAGCCAACGAAACGCGCTCTTCATATTTTTCCAGTTTCTTCATTTTCTTTATATGGAATAAAAAAATCCTTTTCCAGAATAAAAGAAAAAACGCAAATAACTATGGGAAAGTACAAACCTATATGAAAAAATAAGAAAAAATTGTAAATTATCATTTCTTGTTATCACGTACATTATTTCTTCACGCATATAAATGATTCCAAATATATATCCAAACAAAAAATAGTTTCCCTACATTTATTTGAATAATTTATAAGAATATGAGACCTTCAAATTATGATTTTGAAGCTTACAAGAGAAGTGAATGGAAAAGCACGATCTAAATGTACACCATCTAGCTTTCATGCAATATACAGAATATAATCTTATATATCAGAGCAAGAAATGTTCGTAACGTTTTACTTAATATTTTACTTAATGTACGTTTGATTTGGAATTAAGAATCCGTTTTGTCGATATAGATCAAGTTCGACCGTCGCTCCAGCATCACCTTAATATTTGTTTTATTAACAAAATCAACCTATTTCTGTAGGTAAACCGGCCCCAATGGTGTCTTGGTATCGCAATGATAGATTCGTCACCAATCGGACCACAACGCCAAACAGCGGTGTGACACGCAGCGAGATCGTTGTACAGAACTTAAGCCGGGACGACGTTTACTCGGTGCTGACCTGCAACGCCACGAACAACAATAGGTCGATTCCGCTGTCGTCATCAGTTCGCGTGGACATGCGTTGTAAGTATTCTATGTACATTACGATACTAATAAAAATTCGCTCTCTTGGCTCGCCCTACCGAGACCCCGTCAATAAATACGCGAGATTCGTGCCGCCGGGCACGTTTTATCGACGTTTTTAATTTACGCCATATATGATAATTATAGCGCGCAATTACCCGTGAGCAACGATAATAATGACGTATCGTTACGAGGCACGATTATGGCAAAAATTACGCTTTTAAAATATTCATGAGAAATTCGATGAATTCACGTCCGCACGAACGCGGATTCCGTGCGTGAGAATTCGGCAGTTTCCCAAATGTCTTTCTATTGAATTTAATCTTCTTATACCGACAATGACATAGATACACGAACTTAGATAGATGAACTCTCGATCCTTTAATAGGATAGAAACTGAGCGTGTGTTCGAAGGACATGTAATCCCGGACACTCGGTGCGCGATATTGCATTTGCCTTCACTTACTACTAAAGAGGATTCGTCGAAAGCTTCGAACTGTATTATACACCATCGCGCTATTGACAAACCCGGAACCATCGTGAGATGTTTATCGGGATAATAGAAAACCCGATGGCCATTTTTCTAGACCCGTTTGCGAATCGACGACGAGCTACCGAAAGGAAGGAAGAGAAAGGGAGAAACGAGAGAACTCTCGTCGATATAGAGACGAGATATTCGGTCGCTCGGTCGGAGTTCGTCGGCTTGCATTGAGAGGATATGGTCCATCCGAGCTTTAGTCATAAAATAACGATCTCTCGCTCCCACTTGGTTGTCCGTTCTTTAAAAGATTATACTTGATGGAAGGTTATAACAATAATCGCGCATCTTGTATTAAAAGTCAAATCCGTTTCGTTTGCGATTGCGCAATTTAATTTCTCATTGTCTGCTCGCGCAAATCGTCGAAGATCGATAAATTAGTACGGATAAACGGATAATTATTTGAAACCGAACAACCACTGATTATAAAATGGATATTACCAAGTTCCGTTAAATTCCTGTTTCTTCCATGGTTCATGTAAAACCATTCCGAATTTAATTCAAGCGAACGAGAGTTCGTATCAATTCGGGGTGTTCTGTTAACTTAGCGAACGAAAGTCAATAGAGCGCAGCAGAATAAATAGCAGAATAAATACCGAATGCTTTTTCGGACCACGAGACTCGCCATAATAACGTTTGCAACATGGATATCTAAAGCATATACACAGCTATGTCAAACATCTAGATCAATACCGCCGGTGTATTGATATAGATGTTTGACATCCATACCGATGTCAAATATCCACGCTAATACAAGACAATCCCAATACATAGATGTAGAATAACCAATGTGGTCCTACTGTTTACAAACTGGGGGAAGAAGGTTTATGCACACGATCGTGATTGATACATGGTTAATACGCTCCATCCCCACATATATTTTTGTCGAATATCGCCGAAAGACAATAAACATATAGAGTACGTTGATTAATAATTAATAGTCTCCGAGACCTTATCTGACAGTTATGTATCGAGGACACGTAAAGGCAAGCCAATAAATATTGATATCCCTTCGCATCGTGTCTCGTCGGACCCCGTAACTTCTACGGTTGGAACGTTGCGTCGGCACGTAGTGAAGACCAGGACGCGACGCGTCGGTGATGGAGATGAGATGATCGCGCGGTTCTCGCCGCAGCACGGAATCAGGATGGACGATAGAATTTACGGGCGATACGGTCCGGAGAACGTACTCCGGGGGTGTTCTCCAGGGGGTGCCTTTGCATTCTTTACGAGATCGGGTCCGGACGCCCGTAGCAGCGATGCGTAAATGGCGCGCCGATGGGAAAAAGAGAAAAGGAAGAGGGAGAGGACGTTGGGGACGAGGGTGCGAATTCGCCATTAAAGGGTGAATAACGTCCGGGTGAGCGTGGTGCGTCTTCCCGCGCGGCGGTGGAATTCGATTATCTCGGACGTGATTTAAAATTTTCCCGATAGCACGACGGCGACGGGGGCCGCCGCTACCTACCGCCGACCCCCGCAAATTCCGACTACATTATTTTCTTTTTCTTACGTCCAGAGATAAAGGCGAACGTCACGTACGGCTTTACTTTCGCTTCGGCTCCTTTGGAAGCCCATCGCCGTCGCCGCGGAGAAAGTAGATTATCGCGAAATCTTCCGTTCGATCGCGTTTATGGGTCCGACAAGAGGCATTGATGTCGTTTTCGGGATACGAAAGGTAAAATGTACAACGGAATAACACCTTTAAATTCTCAAAAATACGCGACGCATTTTGTAAATACTTATTTCAGTCGAATTGATAATGCGACGAGAAACTGAGAAATTGTTCGAATAACATTAAATATTGCGCTGTTTTCAGACTATAAAATGTTGCTAGTAAACAGAACGTTATTTAAATAATAATATTACGTTACATGATTGCGTATTCGAAATTGCATTGTTTCTACATACGTGCGCTTTAAATACATGATTGTTTTGAATACCATTGTTATACTATTTTTATTGAAAAAGTTATGAATGTTTTTAAAATTGTTTTTAAAACCGACTAATTTACGATTTGATTGGTCCTCTATATCTGGTAATATTGGAAATATAACTATCACGGATAAACTTTATCTCACTGTTTTTATACAGTTATTTAATTTAATATAATTATTTTATTATGCTTTTATATAATAATTTAGATATGTAACTCGATGCATGCACAGCGCACAAAGCTAAATTAACCGGTGTACAATAAGAGAAATAAGAGTACTCTCTTTCAAGGAAAAATGCAGGCTGCAGCAACTGAAAGTATTGCTGCCGTAAATGCATCGTTTACGAGAAAAAATAAAGCTCACATTAAATACACTTCAATTGTAAAGTCAGCGAAAAAGCAGACGCTCCAAGCCTTCGTGAATTTCTTATAGATGGCGTAAAATAAGCGTTAGAAGAACCCGACAGAACCTTCATTAAAGAATACACAAAGAAAAGTTCAGCCACGATTTAAAAGCAATGGAACGAGGACAATGGAACCTTTTCTGGCTTCGATTCGAACCGGCTAATCCGAATGTAATAAGGGAAAACTTTTGCACTCGTTCTCGTAATTAAATATGCACATACGCGATACTTTTATTAGTTAATTGATTTTTTACTAGCTTTCAAGAGAGGAAGATATACGTGTCGTACATTTTAAATAATAAGATTTAAAAATCTCTGTATTTTTAAACGAGAGATATGTATATGTTTAAATATGTTTTGCATGTACCTTTAATTTTTAAAGATAATGTAACGATATTTTAAATGAAAGTGTCAATGTTATAATGTAAACTTTTACGTACTTTTCAGAATATTGCGATGCACATCAATAAATATTGATTGCGTAAATAATTACAGTTTTTCTTTACTGCAATTCTTGATATATCACAGCATAAATTAAATTCAGAAAAATAATTACTGTGAAATAAAGAAATGCAGAAAAATCGGCTATCAGTATTTTTTCAATGCGCAAACGAAGGAAAGAGAGTTTAAATAAAAGAAATAAATATATACGAAAAAATGTTGTTTTATATAATAAAATAATGAAACCGTCATAATATTTTTCTGGCTTAATGATTACTTTTGATAAAGATCGTAGGTGAAAGCGCGGTGTGAAAGTCATTTGGAATAAAATCGGTTAAACACGCGATGTTACGTAATAGCAAATTATTCGAGATAACGCGGAATTATCGGTTCGGCGATTGTACGTTCGACAAAAAAGACACGGAGATTAGATCCCATTAGCATACGCGAATTGGATCGGCAAAGCCGTCGTTCTCAGTTTAATCGATTTTTATCAGCTATTGTTATACGCAATGCCCGCCTTCGAGAACGATTCGAGAACGAGGTAACACGAAACGTTTGTCGCGATCTCAAACTGATTTGAATTTTCTCTTTTCTCGTTTAACGATTTATTTAACAGAAAGTCTGGCTTTTATAACGAAAAATATATTTAAAAACATATTTTTTGCTTTAGAACAAAAAATAAGTATTATGAATTCAAATTGAGATCTTGGAAAGTGGAAAGACAGAAGTCCACGTATTCCTTCTTATCTCTGATATAATTTTGTATTTATTTTTTTTTCATTTATCAGGTACAGATATTTTTAAAGAAACGAGTTTCAGTCGATCTAATTTAAGATTAAATGTCTATAAAGAATGATATAGTTGTCTATGTACGTCTCAATTTTTCTTTATTTGTTTATTTATTTATAGAAAGTTTGATTGATTAGAGTATATTTTTTTCGACGAAACGTTGGATATTTATTATAAATATTGATTCATCTATAACTGTAACAGTACCTCAAAATAGTCGAGTATTACAAATAACCCAAGTCTAACAATTTTGTTTGTACAAACAATATCACAAAAACAATAGGCAACTAAGAGGTAGTACACAGTTATTATTAATGTACGTTACAATTCTTCTTTATTCTTCACCTGTACATATATTTCTTATGGTGGGAAATAATGTAACGTACATTAATAATAACTGTGTACTAGCTCTTAGTTACCTATTGTTTTTGTAATATTATTTTTGATATTGAGAGCTCGATTAATTTATATTGTCAATTTTCTTTACTTTTAATAAAAAATTATTTAGCTGAATTGAGGCGGAATATGCAATAAGGGATGACACAGTTAACTTTATATTTTCTTCATATTTTTACATTGCCTTTTATTTATGTATAAAAACTTTGATCGATTAGAGTATATTTTTAAGATAAAAATATAAATATCGGTTATTTTTTATACGTATTGATTCACGCATCACTGTAACAATATCCCAAAATGGTCGAGTATCACGAACGACACTTTCCTCAGGGGTGGTTAAGGAGAATCGAGGAAAAAGCGTTCTCGAGGCCGGATACCACGTGGCGTTCACTCCTTTGCAAACGGGGTCTTTGACGATGGCAACTTTCGCGCTCGATACGCGACGCTCGGTAACACGGATTTCCCGATAATAAATCTCCTTTTCACATAAAAG